AAGACTGGCACATAGAACAAATATTCTGGCAGCAAACCACATCAGACAAACTGATTTATTCAGCTTTTTTTTAAAAAAACAGCACAACCTACTGTCATATAATATTACAGCACAGCTATGACCAAAGATCTGGGGGGAGTGAGTATGCTTGGAATCAACAGTTTTATAAGTGAAGAGAAAACATTGCTTCAGAAACTTTATAAAGTCCTTACTGACAAGGAAATCAGAAGGAAACAGAACAATACTTCCACACCAACAATCTAGAACTATAGATGCCCCTGCCACGAAGGGAGCAAAAAAGTCAGTAAAAGTTCTCAAATCTTTTTGAGATTTGGGGGGGAGGGAGGTGCAATTGCAGAAGCCAGATTTATTCTCTATAAGCGTGGGCCAAGCATCGGCAGGATCCAATGTTATCCAGACTCAGGGTATGTCTTCACTATGCAGTGTTTACCGATAATGGTGTGAAGGCTGTGCCAACACATCCTTGTAACTAAAAATCAGCTTGTCTGAATGCTCTTTGTCCACACTTTTGAAGATCAAGGCCTCCTACAAGGAGGGTTTGTTTTGTAGACAAGAGAGCACTCCTGCTCATAAAGCAGCATTCACACTTTCACTTGCCTCAGCAAAACTTTGTTTATTATTGGGATGGAGGAGTTAAGCACCCGTGACAAACAAAAGTTTTGTCGATCAAGTGCAAGTGTACACCTACCCTGAGTGTCAGGGAAATAATAAAGCTCCCTTTGCATAACAGCAAACAAACAACCCCTCTTCAAAGCAAATGAAAAAACCCCAACCAGCAACAGCAACAACTCACCATCCCAAACCTGCCTTTCACATATAAAATATTAACTTATAGGAGGTGGACAAAGCAAAATGGCACAGAAGCCAATTATGATTTTATCGTTACTTATAATACTGTAGCGACTGGAGGCCCTAAAAATGGTGTAGCCTGCCCCCAGTGTTGGGTGCTGTACACACATATAATTAAAAAGGCAGTTTCTTCTTTAAAAAGTTTTCCGCCTGCAAAGAACTCACAACTTAGCATAGGGTGTAAAAAATGGAGATGGCAAACAAACATAGAGGAGCACAATCACATTTATTCAAATGAGCGGTCATGGGAGGGAATGAGGTTTGGCTGGGGAGATTCAAAGGAGTCAGGAAGGGAGGTGTCAATGATTGAGACAATGGAAGAAAGGGAAGAGAAGGAAGGAAGGAAGAGAGGTCCTAGAGCAGAAGAGTAGTCATTGTCATTGATAGTCTGGAAGTCACAGAAGGACTAGAAGAAGGGATAGATGAGCAATCTTGAAGAGAGGTGGTCAGTCAGAAAATTCAGTACAGTAATTAAGAGAGTAGGAGACCTGAGCAGGGTTGCAGGTTAAACAAGGTGGAGAAGATTATGAGACAAGGTGCTAGGAGACCAGATGCCATTTTTAGCTGTACAAAGTTCTGAATTATACAATTTGCTGCTCCCTTTATATGACCTTTGATAATACAGAAAATCTCCATTTTTGGTCACTTGACTGGAAATTTTATGTCTCTCAACAGGAACAGCCAGAATCAACACAAATGTATTAAGTGGTGAGAAGTAAAACACAAGCAAAATGGGTTTTGATTCTGGTTTTCAGACAGTGATTCTACAAAATACAATGAATGCAGAGCTATACAAAATTCTCAGATATATAATACTGTTAATTTTTTTCTCTTGAGGATTTTCCTAGGTGTCAATATAGTCACTGATGTGTCGGACTTATGATTGTCTCCCTTTGCCCCATAGGTATGGCTCTATATTACATAATGACAAAAGATCAAAAGTGGGGAAACTTAGTATTGGAATTAAGATCATCAGCTAATGTACTCACTCCACTGTGCCTAGTTATTGTACAGGTCTCAGCATTTAGTCACAATAAGAGAAGTTATTAAAAACAGTGCCAGCTGGTTTCTGAATTTCCTTCTGCTAAGTAGTTTCAAAGACTCTTAACAGAACTTGTAATGTCATTTGATTCTAATTTAGATTTCCTTTGTTTATATGTATAATGGTCTTTAGAAAATTTTATCAAAAGAAAAAATGTCTTAGCATCTGGAGGAGACCCATGGAGAAGAGATAAATATCCTAACTACAAGCTAGCTTATGGTGGGATTGGGAGAGGGATTGGTCAGATCAGGGGAAATGTGTATTAGACATGATAAACAGAGTCGGCAGTAGCCAAGCTTCTGGCTCTGTCCCACCCCTCTTCTGGAGGAGATCCTTTCTCTTATTGCAGTCTCAAAGGAAGGGCATGAACGTCAGCTAAAAATTGTTTGTCTTTGTTTTTCCTTTTTTTCCCGAAAGCCTGTAGGGCCTCTAGTAACATGAATTCTTGCCTTTTTTTTTTTTTTTTGCTGCATATCTCTGTGGTAAATCACTGTGAGTGAGTCACACTACCATCTTTATTTAAAGTGAGAAACCTTACTTCATCAGGGAATAAGCAGTGAGTTTGATCATGGAGTAAACTACTAAGGAGTGCATGAGTAAGGTAGCAGAATGTGTTGGGTCCTTCATCATTCATTGCAAGTGAGAACAAAAAATAATAACTGGAAAGGAAAATATCTGCAAGTCACCATCATAAACACAGGCAGCAACTTCTAAACACTCAGGCTACGTCTAGACTGGCATGATTTTGCGGAAATACTTTTATCAGAAAAGTTTTTCCGTTAAAAGTATTTCTGCAAAAGAGCGTCTAGATTGGCAAGGATGCTTTTGTGCAAAAAGTGCTTTTGCGCAAAAGCATCTGTGCCAATCTAAATGCACTTTTGCACAAGAAAGCTCCGATGGCCATTTTAGCCATCGGGCTTTCTTGCGCAAAAAAATAAGGTGCCTGTCTACACTGGCCCTCTTGCACAAGTATTCTTGCGCAAGAGGGCTTATCCCTGAGTGGGAGCATGAAAGTATTTGCGCAAGAAGCACTGATTTTGTAAATTACAGTACAAAGTCAGTGCTCTTGCGCAAATTCAAGCAGCCAGTGTAGACAGCTGGCAAGTTTTTGTGCAAAAGCAACTGCTTTTGCACAAAATCTTGCCAGTCTAGACGCACCCTCAGTGTTCTAGTTATCTCATTCTAATGGGAGAAGCCAGCTAGCATTTGTTCTCATTCATATGCCTGATGTGCATGTAATTTTTAATCTTATAATATGGACAATTTGTGGTCTCTGAACTTGCAGCAGGTGTTGTGCTTCAGGGCTTACACAAAATGGTGCTATCTGGGTTAATGCCAGTATCAAAAATGCCAATTCACTTTAGAATAATTATATTTAGTGTTTTGTAAGAAAATACCCACACATAAGAGCTTACTGAGAAAGTACTCCCTGTTCTGAAATAAGATAAAGAGCCCCTTTGTCTGAATACTCAGCCTGATTTGATGCTTTGTTAGTAAACAGAGCGCCGGGCAGGAGGTAAACCTGCTTCTTCCTGATCAGAGAAAACTCTACAGACAGGAATCAAAAACAATCAGCAGCCTAGATCCTGTTGATACTAAAGAAGAGGCCATGTTTAAAACAACATTAAAACACAGTTCAAGCATGGCTGCCAGAGAACTGTTCTCTAAGGCTCAGTTTCCTCAAATAGCTATTTTGTGTCTTTTGAGTGCACCCGTTATTTCAAAATATAACAGGTTCACTGCAATCCCTCTAAACCTAATTCCATGAGGAGTAAGGGATGTTTCGGAATAGCGATTTATTTAGAAATAAGTGCTGTATAGACAGCGTCAAATTTTGAAATAAGCTATTTCAAAATAAAACTGAAATAAGATACAGAATTTGCGTAGCTCAAATGGCATATCTTATTTCGACCCACGGTGCAGTGTATACGCACCCTAACAGTTTAGTGTGGTGAGAGTGGTGTGGACAAGATTAAATACTACTAAAATAATATTCAAACCCTATTTCTACACTGATCAATATGGAACTACTAATTTAGCATGATATTTTGGGTTGCTGTGCTGAGAGGCACCATCCTTCAGATCCAATATAAGTAGGAAACTATGTCCACTTGTGGTCATTAAAAATCCTTTCGCATTTGTGCAAGAGTTTGTTTTTTTAGCTATGGTTAAGTTGTAACTTGGATATGTACTTTTCTATATAATTATTGCAGAGGATTTTTCACTTCTAGTCCATCCTGTAACTCAGAGGCTACATTCTGCTCCAGAAGTGACTGCATTTCAAAAGGTGGGTGAAGTGATCCGTGGCCATATGCATTTTATAAAACACCTTTGGATCCTTTCCGATGAAAGGTGTAGTAGAAATGTAAGCTTCTTTGTTTTATTAGAAAACTCTCTTCAGTAACAAGAGGGTATAGAAACAAAATACAGGACTATGTAGCACTTTAAGGACTAACAAGATGGTTTATTGGATGATGAGCTTTCTTATAGGATACTGACTTCCAAGTGCAGAAAAGTGCTGCTCACACAATTATTTTCTCCCTAAAAACACATATATTTCTCAAAATAAATAAATAGGGGTTTTCTGCTAGACAGATTGTCTGCGTTCAGGCTCTTTTTAGATGTCCACTATCTTACTACCACCATCCTCTGAAGTGGGTGCTGAAGGATCCGTTCTAACGGCGCCCGAAACACTTTCTCCAGATGCTTACAATGGAGAAAGAAAGCAGAGCGAAACGTGCAATCTGACTTTGGTTTATTGTGGTCACTCCGATTTGCACTTGTAGGCGACAGTCAGTCTCAGACCAGCTAGTCATGCTCAGCTGTCTGGCACAGCCCTGGGGTGGGAGTGGGGAGAAAAGGGAAGGGGGAGGAAGGCGGGGAATCAAGGCCCCTCTCCAAAGCTACCTACACCCGCGCCATGCGCTGCCTTACAATAAAACACAACCGTAGCCGGGCTGCTGAGGTTTGAGATCTAGCTCCCCCGCCGGCACTGCCTGCCCGGCCTCCAGGCTTCTGCCCCACCTCGGGGGGTGAGCTGAAACCTCGGGTTTCAAATAGTGCTGCTGGCTGGGAGCGGGGGCTGGCCGGGGCGGCGTGTGGGGCCGGGCTCCCCGCTCTAGCTCCGCCCCGGCCGCGCTGGGACCTTTAAACAGGCGCCGGGGCCGCCCTAGCGGCTGCTGCGAGCGAGTCTGGCCGCGTCCCTTGAGCGGATCGTGCCCTGCGCCGCGGTGAGTCTCCGGGCCCCCGCCGAGCGGGGAGATGCGCTGGCCCCGGGCGCTGCGCGGGGCATGTGGCGGGCTTCCCGCGCACTCCCGGGCGACGAGCACGAGCCCAGGCGCGTCGCGGCGTTAATCCCGCCCGCTGCTGTCTACCCCGGCTCCGCGCCCAGTCAGGGGCTGGGCGTGCAGGGCAAGGCTGCGGCTACCGGTCTGAGGGGGAAGCGTCAGGGCTCACACGAAAGTAGCCGCACCGTGTACGGGCCCTGCCTGCTCCCATCCGGGCGGGCGGGCTGTGGGGCTGTCCGCGGGACGCTGCTGCCTCTTGGCTCCGGTGTCTCCTTGGGGTGGTGGGAGCCGGCATCCAGCCCCCCAGCCCAGGCACCTGGAGTGATTAGGCAGGGCGCTAAACCGGCAGTGAGTGTGTGACGTGACCTTCTCCGCCTAATGCTGCCACAGTAGCACCTGCACCTGGGGGTGGCTGGGTGGGTGCTGTTGTCTCAAAGGACTCTTGAGTAAGTGTCTTTCCCCCCCCCCCCCCATTTCTACCATCGCCATTGGCTTAACTAGGAAAAGATGCATTTATTTGTCTCCGCCGCCAAATTAATTTCCTGACTATTGGTTCAATAATGGAGCTGTCTGTCCATGCTTGGCTAATTAGTAGCTTGCTAGAAACGCCTTGAGCCTGATGCATGTCTTTTTGGATCGACTAGATGGCTACTTTTCGATGCTTTAAGTATTAATCCTATATGCCATTTAATTAGCTACATTAATTAGCTGGCAGTTTCTGTTGGAAGTAATGGTAGTGTTGTAAATGCAGAATCAGTGGCCCACCTTGCTTGCAGGAGTAGTCCATCTGGAGGGTTTACATTTTGAAGCTTGAGATAACTGAAGAGATGAGTGGGCTAACATACCTAAGTTCCAAACACAAGCGTATGAATTAATTCATTTGCTATCTGTGGAAAAGAAGCATAGGCAGCAGAATCTGTTACGAATGCCCTGGGAATGGAGGTTGTTGGTAACGCTGAACAAAACATTATGGCGTGTTTGAAAGTTTACAACTGATCGTTGACTTAAATACAGCTTGGAAACGTCACCATGCAGAAGAGAAAAGCTGCTTTTAACCATCTCACTTTAAACAAAACAAGCATAAAAGTTTCTTTATGTTAATATTTAAGTCTCCCTCTTTTCCCCCACCCCTTTTTTGTTGTTTGCTTAACACAGTGCTGTTCACTTCCCCCACTCTTGGTCTCCGCTGCTGCCTCACGGAAGACTTTCAGTTCCAAATGAGGTGTGTGGTTGACCGGTCAGGTCGTGACTTCAGGTTCTGCTAGAGTGAATGAGCGTGCACTCGCATTTGCAGCTTGCTTCTTTATGTTCCTTGCCAAAACTTTCATTTTCAGTGGATCTCTTTGTGACAATGGTTACACAGTACCCAATTTTGGAAAGGCTTGGTGTGGTCTCTCATTAAAGCCACTAGGAAAATTAGTCCAGTAGGATTAGTATCTTGAAAGATGTTTTCAAATTAGCTGTCTTCATAAGCAAGGGCTCACTTCCCTGAAAAAGGTTTACTTCCAGAAATTAAAGTACACAGCAGGCAAAACTTGATTATGTAATTATTAATGCTGACCGTGCTGAGCAAGACCGTTCCTGCTCTAAAGAACTTGTGTGTTTGGGTTTGGGGGGGAGGGGGCAGAGATGAGGTAGGCATCTCATGCTAGAGCAGCTTTCCAGTGGAAATTGTAAATACAAAACACTTCTAAACACTAAGTAGTAAACAATTATTTCCCTATTCTAGGTTGCCATTCTATAAAAGCACCAGTGCTTTTTTTTTTTTTTTTTTTTTTTGTCGTTTAAAAAAAAAAAAAGTGCTGGTACTCCAGGGGAAAAGGTGTTGAGCTCTGACTGGAGGTGCCGGTATTGCATACCAGGCAGTATCATCACAAAAAAAGCCCTGGAAAGCACCATACAATTAGTTTTTTCCTGATGCTTTAAAAAAAAATAATCTAAAAGCAGTACAACTTTTTTCAGGATCAAAGATGAGACAGCTTTTTGAGACAGTGTAGTTAAGCTTTTGTGTCCCCCAAATGTCAAAATCTGCCAGTCTGAAATGGGTTGTGCCCATGAAAGCTCATGATATTTTTTTGTTAATCTATAAGGTGCTACAGGACTGTTTGCTGTTTTCTGAAGGTGTTTTTTTTTTTTTTTTTTTTCCCCCCCCCCCAAGTTACAGACTAACATGGCTACCCCTCTGAAACTCGTGCCAATTTGTTAGGTTCCATGACAATGGTTGAACCAGCTCCTTGTGCTCAGTGAAAGTATTTGCAGGGCTTCGGCAGAAAACAGTGCTCTTGTCCTGTAGAATGATAGAGAATGTTGTGAAGCCACAGTTACTTGCATTATGGAGCGTATGATGGGTGAATCTCCATTAGTTCAGAGAGCATGCTAATTTTGCCATGCTTTTCTCAACAGGATTCCAAAACAGCTATTGACTATTATCTGTTTACTAGTTAGCATGTTTGTTCGGTGTGCCATGGGGAGCTTGTACTAGTGCAATGGTTCCCAGCCTTTTTGAGCATACAGCCAGCCCCCTTTTTAATCTACTAGAATTTTAGACCCCCAAACAGTATAGTTATTTTCAAACATTCCATTACTTGATAACATGATTATACATTGCAAATGATTATCTAAACAAATATTGTAGTATTGAGAGAATGCAGAATGTCCAAGTTGAAATGTAACTTTGAGGTGCTAGATATTTACCAAACAAAATTTTATTGGATCCGCCAATCCATTTTTGCTAGCGGCCCAACTAAACCCTCCCCACCACTCTCATAGCTTTTGGATGGTTAGAGCTGGGTGACGTATTCATGTAACATGATCATTTTAAAAAAAGAAAAAATGGTAAAAAGTGACTGACGCATTTATAAGCCGACTCCAGAGTACAGTCACAGCTTGCCAGCTTCAGCATAGGATGAGGAATGTGCAGACTGCAGGGCATGGAGCCTCTCAGCTCCCATTTGCTGCTGTTGTTTCCAGCCAATGGGCACGGAGAGGCTCTGTGTCAGCAAGCAAACTCAGACTCTGCAAGCAAACAAATGTCCCAGCAGAGTCTGCAACACTTCCCAGGGTCACTTTCTAGCCCAGCAGGGCCAGCTACTGGAACTTTTTATCCACATGGAGTGTCTGCAGACTTGGAACCTGTCAGCTCCCAGTCCCTGTATTTGCCGTTCTGGGTCAAATGAAGCAGTGGCTAGCACATCCCTTGGCCTGAGCTGCTTCCTCAGCTCCTGCCCCCTCTATCCTCCTGCCCATCCATGGAGGATACAGCGAGGGGGGCTCTTGCGGCCCAGCTTCTGCACCAACACTCTACCGTTGGATGGGCATGGAGACTTAAGAGAAAAGGAAAAGAAAAGGATCGGCCCACCACAGCACTGGGAGGGGGACAGGGCTGGAGCATAAACGGCAGCACAGCTGGTGGCAAGAGGATGGATGGTCGCGAACGGCGAGCCTGGGCGAGAATAACCTGGCGGAAAGACCCAGTCCCACAGTCAGCCTGATCCTTACTTTTAAACTTTCCATGGACTCCCGCCCCTCCTCCTACAGTACCATTGTGGACCACCAGGGGTCCACAGACCACAGGTTGGGTACACTGTACTAGTTCATTATTGTGGTGATCATGCTAGTGTCTACATGCTTGTTAACCCAACTAGTTTGAGAAGCGGGGCAAATATTCAAAGGGAAAATGTTGGGGGGAGAGGAGGGAGGGAGGGAGCACAGCTAAGCAAAAGAAACTAAAGTATAGAAATGTTGCATTTTTCCAGGGACCAGGACTCCAAAACCCAGCATCAGTTAACTTGCAGTTAGGTTGTGAAAATAACTTGGTCACGAACAGTTCCATTAAGAGAACATTTCATGCTGCTGTATGTAAAATATTAAGTGCATGGGAGTAGCCTCACTCCTTAAGTTCCTGTTGCTTTAATTTTATAGCTTCTCTGCTTCTGGCTGGCTCTTAAACAGTGGCGTTTTGATTCTATTCTGTGGAAACTCCAACTGTTACTTTTAATGTGTAGATGATGTGTAAGGTTCCTGGATGAGGAACTGTCTGGGAGGCATAACTCTATGCAGGTACTTCCTGTTGAGTGTACCTGCTTTTGATAGCAAAGAGGGTGTGGCACCTAAATGCAGGGTGCCCCAGATGTTTGAGGCAGCCTCACTGTATTGATCCCTTTGCATTGCATGGGAATATGGCTTAGCACTTTCCCACATTTTTAGCATATTGCCTATTCACCATTCTAGCTAAAAAAGTCTATAGATTTTTTTTTTTAAACCTCCTATGTCCTTCACTAGCTACATTGAGTCCTCACCATGGCTGAAGCTTTTGAAATGTTAAAGTTGGCTTCCCCCCCAGCCCCCCCCAGACTGTCCCTTGGGCAATATGCCCTTTATGTGACTCCACACTGTGCATGTTTAAATGCAAAAAAACCCACAAGTCTAGTCTTCAATAAGAACCAAAGCTGTAAGGTTAGGTGCCTATGGAACTCTTGCCCAACACTAGGACAGCTGGTTCCTAGAACAATCACTGAGCAAGGGCAAACAATTCTTTTTAAAAACCTTATTTTAAAAAGTAGAATGAAACCTCTCAAAACACTTGCATTATATTTATTTAAAAAAACCATTTTCTGAATACTAGCAAGTGCTGTCTGAACACTGTGTTCCCGTAATACAGAACTGGGGAATAGGAGGGATGTGGAGTAAATAACCACACCATTCTGACCAGAAGTGCAGGGTAGGGATGTAACATCTCATTTAATTGGTTAACCAGTAAAATGTAGTGTTTAACCAATTAAAGGAGAGGCTAGAGTATGGCTGGGCTGGAGTTAGGGTTGCCAGATGGTTGAAACAAAAATATTGAGGCCCCCCCAAAAAAAACCCTGGGAAATTGTTGAAGAGAAAGGGGGGTTGTTGAGCAAAATAAAAGGGACTCCAAGAC